TTAATTATTCTTATTCAATACAAAAGCGAATATATATATATATATATTATATATATATATATATATATATATATATATATATATATATATATATATATATATTCGCTTTCTTGTTAAGCAGCGCGACACGTCTTTTATTTATTTACTTGTCATTCGTGACAATATGTATATTTTTTTTTTTTGTAGAGAAGCTCGACGCCAGTAATATTCTGACGGATATGCTATTATTACTGACAGCCTAAGAAAGGCAGTGCTTGACGTGAATTTAACTTTCTTTTGCACTTAAATTTTGCGACTCGACTGAACCGCCACAATAAATCGAGGGTGCGCTAGGCTAAATCTAGATATTTATTACTTCGTTATTTGTATCGGCTGGTCACACTGTCATAAAAAAGAACGCTTTTACCATCAGGGATGATTGCACTTACATCGATCTCACTTCCTGCTTCCACAAAGCGAGTTTTTTTTTTTTTTTTCATTTCTCCGCTTATTTTATTTTTGGTATCGTTCCGCTCCTTCGGTCCTGCTAATGGCTTAGTAAGCGACGTAGCGTCATTAATTTGCCTAATTTCTATCGATCCCGCGTCTGGTGCCTGGCTCCGTAATAGATATGTATCACGCACTTCATTCGACAAATCCAACCATAAAGACGACGAAGTTTCAAGAAACGGAGCTTTACGCCTGTGCCACGTCCATCGTGACTCGTCCTGCAACGCCCCTGTTGGTGGCGGTATGTTCCTGTGGCGCCATCTTATAATTTCTACTCCTGAAGTCACGACCAGGGTTGTGAGTTGTGAACGACATGTTCAATGGTCTGTGTAAAAAGCACGGTGGAAGCTTGGAGTGACCGCGTTCTTCAACCAACGCCGTCAAAGATGACCGACTGTCATTGTTTTTGACTCCTGAGATGAAAGTGCCCTGTCCGAGGAAAAGAAGGAAGCCCGGTTTCTCAGAGCGCATAAATGAACTACACGCATCGCAGAAAGCTGAAACTATGTAAGAATATGACGCTGGTGGTGATGATGGGACGCGAAAGTTTGAGGACACGACGTTACCATGGATAAAAAATGATTAAAGAAAAATACGACATTTTATTATAAGTTGACGCCTACCTCTAGGCTTAATATTCGCGCACCAATAAATGCCGTTATGGGCTCCAAGATCCGTCAGGCACAGACACTTACGCTACCCAACGATGCCATACAGCGCCACTTTGAAAACAGGTTGGGCAAACTGGCGTTTCAGGTATGCGGCGGTTACCCCGACGCCTTTCACGCTTACTGGGAATATCAGAAAGCTCTCTCTTCCCCCGCATTCTTACCCGATCTCACATCCCACCTTCCATCCCCTATTCCTGGGAGAGCTGGACCGTTCCACCCCAGGAACTCCGCCCGACCTTGTGGCCATTGCTTGTGGCCCACATCAAACACATAAGGGCATCCTGCCAACCGGACCCAGAACCACAGCCAGGGGTCTAGCCGGGCTCCTTAGGTAGCGACGACTTGCACTAAGAGTTGTTTTGAAATGAAGTATCTCTCTCTCTCTCTTTCTCTTTCCAGGATCTTTTTTTTTTTTTTTGCTAATACGTTGTTTGTTTCATTTTGTTTTTTTACTTAAATAATTGCCACACGCCCCCACAATGCCGTTTTTTATTTTGTCAAATATTGGTCCCAGGTAGACGTGAACTTATTACGAAAAGTCGGTTTTCTCTTTCATCGTTTGAGTCGGGTAAATTCGACATGTTCTTAAACCTTCGCATTTTATCAGCATCGCTAGCGTCACAATCACACGCAGTTTTAGCTTTCCGAGACACGTAGTTCATACACTGGGACCGCAACATCGGGTTTAATTTTCTCTCGCGGACTTGGCAGAATAAATATTAATAAAAAAGTCATATTTTGCTCTTCCGTAGTTGTGAAAGCCCGACCACGGCGAGACTTTTGGTTGCGGACGTCGCGAATAGGTAGTATTTAACGTTCACCAAAACCAACTCCGTTGGTGCTGCGCGTGTGCTGAGAATTAAAACCGTCCATTCCAGATCATCAATTTTTTCTTTAAGCACGGTGTCGAAGCCAAACTCTTTTCGGTTCAGTTCACATTACGGTTCACATCTTTCGGTTCGGTTCAGGTTCAACTCCGGTGCGGAAAACATAATGGTTCGAACCGGGTTAGACCGGTTCATAACGGTTCAAGGAAGTGAAAAATTTAAGCGAATATTCGCACACCTCTACTGCCATGGATTTGACTACTACGGTATTAAATAAACGATCATTTATTGATTTTGTGCACTACATCTGTTTATCGGAATTATCTTCAAAAATGCAAGACCTGACACGAGACTGGGTACAAACATTTTTATTCAGCAAACAAAAAATTAAACATATCTACGGTAGGAATGGACAAGTGCCTATCCAAAATTGTAGCATGCATACGCCATATTAATTTTATTGATGTGTGCGCACTGCCTTGGCTGCGTGAAACTACCCAAAGAAAAGTACATCATCTAGTATGTCCAGGATCAATCGCGTTCGTCGGCATGACAGGATGTATATTAACCCCGAAAAGAAGCTTTCCACGCTGACTTGCGTGGCCGGTACTGCAAAAGTGAGGAGCGCAAGTGAAGATAAATCAGGGCGCCAGGACGTTTCCTTTTCCCAAAATTTCAATACATAACTACCCTCGCTAATTCGGGGCACCTTTTCAAAGCCGTCCACTAGACTACGGGTTTTACTTGAGCTAGTTGGTACATACTTGAATATGGTCAGCTGAACAATTACAAATTAGAAAAAACCGTGAGAGAAAATACATACACAGCGGTGTGTATGTATTTTCTCTCACGGTTTTTTCTAATTTGTAATTGTTCAGCTGACCATATTCAAGTACGTCCACTAGGGTGTGAATTTCCCCAAAGTTTGAAGAACGGTCACTAAATGCTTTCAGACAACGCTTTCTTTTTTAAAGGTGAACGCATCGAGGTTTTTGTCAGGGCAAGTGGAACTATCCGTTGTGCACGGTGCTTGAGGCCCAATTCTGCCGCAGTTGCCTTGGGTGGCGCTGCCGGTCACAGCGGGGCCAGAAGCCGGTCGGGCAGCGTTTAGCGAGGCTGGCTTGGGGCGCGTTGCCGCGACTATCTCTTCCTTCCTTGCGTTGTGTGTGAAGCGATACAATGTTGTGTGGCTGCCAGCTGTGCCGAAGAGACAAGGGACTTACAACGATGTTGAATACTGTAAAGAAACAAACAGAGCGGTGGTGTCTTTTTTCGGGGTGCAACGTGGGTTACAACACAAGCAAAGAGAGACGCTCCTTCTTTCGGACGCCAAGCGACGCATCTCTGTTCGTAAAGTCGGATCGTCAGTTTCCAAGAAAAAAAAATCCTTTCGCGTCACGCGATGGCATTTATTTCTGAAGGAAAAAACCAAAACTGGTGCAGAGACCAAAATAGAAATTAAAAAAAAAAAAGAATTTGTGACCAATGTGACATTTCAGAGAGAACAAATTTCTCCAAGTGGGATCGCTCTTGAATAAAGCTAGCAGTTGAAGTTACTCCATTATCTTGTTCTGGGAAATAATGCAGATAACAAGAAAAGCTCGGGCTCATTTAAATATGCTACACACATACAAAAAAAAAAGATGTCTTGAAGCAAGAACAAAACCTAGATATTTGAAGGTCTGCAAACTGCACAGCTGCCAAAAAAATAATTAGAAGAGCTTTGACTCTAAAGGTGGGAAGTATAGCGTCCCATATCCTATCATGCTGAAATTTCGATTTTTTTCACGATTGCATCTAAGGTGAGAGCGACAATTATTTTTCTATAATAGCAGAACGAAAGAAAAATGTTTAAAGAGGCAATACGTAAGTAACTGACCGCTCCGAACGGCATTTGCGCTTTAAATATAAGCATCTGCCTCTCGCGCAAGTCACGTTTCTTCACAGGGGTGTGAGATAGGGTGGAACGTATTCTTTCTCACAACCGAGCAAACAAAAACGGGCAAAGCAAACGACCATAATCACGCCGAATAGGGCATCTCTGCTGCAACCGCCAGGCCCCTCTCAGCCCTATTGGCGACTGCAGCGAAATCGACGCCGCGTAGCAGCGACGCCGAGAAGCTCGAGAGAGGAGGTCGTTTTGGCTTTGTCGTCTGCTATCGCTGCTTGGTTCTCGTAGGCAGCATAGAAACAAACATCGCTCCAGTAATTATTTTTATGCTTCCGCCATGTCATTCCTACGCACTGACTAAAAGAAGGCTTCTACCGTCGAAAAATCTCTTTGCTTTTATATGTAGCACCGATTTTACGCTGCTGTGCAAGAAATTTGTGGTGGTTCGCGTGCTGAACGAAGAAAACAACCTCCTTTCACCCGCCATTTTTCCTGGCCAGCGTGCCCCCTAGAATTCGCTAGAGTCACGAATACGATGGCTGCGCTCTGCCCCGCAGCGCCCTCACCGGCGTGCTTGCACATCCCGACACACTCACGTCCACCGGATGGCACACCGTCCCATTTTAGTACACCCTAGCAAGGCCACGGGAAATAGCGTCAGCAAGGTAGTGAAGGTGCAGCCACCTATTCGACGTCGTTGCGCGCGCAACCAATGGCGTTGTGCCACGGGAAAGGGGGAGGGAGAGAGAAGAACCAGTTTGCCCTTCGCTTACTTTCCTTCCCTCTCTTCTCTTCACACGGCGGCAGGGTAGGAACTGCGTATAACCTATCCCGCGCTTCCATTGCATTTCACAAAAAGCTAAAACACGGCAATTTGTTTTTTGTTTTTTCAGGCAGAGGTTAGGAGCTTGGTTTGATCACGCGCTTTGAACATCAGGATCAAAGACAACGTCCAGTGAGTACAGCGTAGTCACTCACACATTCCATTCATATCTTGGACAACACGGCGTGGCATGTGGCGCTGCATATCGAACGCTTCGCCCTTTAAAAAAAAAAAAAAGGTTTCTGCGCATGAGCGGTGCACTATGAAAAAACAAGGGTGTTTATAAACAATGGGTTGGTGGGTTTTTTTTTTTTTCCAGAGGGGACGCTATAGAAACTATGTTATTTTTTGTTTACGCAGGAGGGATGAAGCATCCTTTGTTGCTGTCACGGTTCATGATTGTCCGGTTCCTTTCTCAGGTAAGAGGAGAATATCATTCGGTGGTTAGAATGCCAAACCCGTGTCGTTCCTTCATTTTGCCCGGATGGAGATAGTCTGCCCACCGCTAAAAAGATGCCGGTATAGCCGTCGGACGGAGATACTTGAGTTAGACTTCTTCAGAACTTGTAGAAGAGAGAAAAAAAGTGTTTATCTTCGATTTTAATTTTACGTACACTTGGTAAAAAGCAATCTGAGAGAGAAAACAAGAACTTGTATAATTCTTGAACTTTTAAGAATAAAACAATTACATTTAATGTGCAGTTTAGCATACTGTAATCTAAATATTTTAACACTCAAAAAAAGGGTGTCGTGCTACACCCTTTTGTCCCGTATAATGCACCTCAAAACTTCAGTCTGATTTACAGCGCATTGGCGCTGAACAGACTACCCCAACTTTTACGATGGGCTTTTGAAAGGTATGGTGTAACTTAATAAACAGCTAAAGTACGTATCAAAGACAACAGAAAAAAAAATACTTATTTTTTGTAGTAGGGCCAAGAAAATCCCGATTATTTTTTGTGTAGTCAGTAACACGTGCGTTAGATATTTTAATAAGTTGTACCACTCGTCTATCAAGCCGCTCGTGAAAGTATGTACCGTCGGTTCGACTTGTGCGCGCAGTAGGTGGACCTGAATTTATAGGGTGTCTTATATGGAACAAGGGGTGTAAGAATATGCCTTTTTGTTAGTTTGTAAGCGTACTTTTAAAGTATACATTAGCGAACTTCGAACTTAAGCGGCGTGTTCTGGGAACCAACGTGTGTATACTAAACCTATATATTTAATATCCTCTTCATTAATTAAAACAATACTTCAAATATACTTTTTTGAAGCGTGTCATACAAGCAGAAATTCAATATAGTTTTTGTGTGTCACTTTGCACTCTGGGTGATTCTGTTAATTAAAAACAGACAGCAAAAGAACTTACAAACCTCAAGTTTTTTTTTTCCACGTATATGCGGAACGTACTAACAATGGCCGTTACCTTTAAACACCTCTCATCTCGGCCTAACCAGTTGGTCAGGCCGATGCTCGTCAGCTCTTGTTAGGTCTCTATTTGCATATAGCGCCATTACCGGGTTTGCATTGTACGGTCTTCCGCTGTAACTGATCAACAGAAATAAATATGACAGCTCCCATATTTATTCAGCCTGAAGTGAGAAAAACACAACTGTATTCTGGAAGTTATAGAGGTAGATTCCGGAAGCGGGATACTGCCCTTGTTTTTGAAGTAGTGGGAAATTAAAAATTGCAGGCCAAGTGATTAAGAATCAAATTAAAAACAAAACAAAGAAAGCCGAAACCGGCGTGAATTGCATCCTGGGTACATAGCATATGCAGTCTGTTCATGCCCTAGTATGGCTATTTCCTGTAACCTAATCAAACTTATACCCCCTTTCAGACTGACAATTAAATGTCAATTCCATCGAATGGCATTTTTGCGATCGGTGAATCAGCTCGCGATCTTTCGCGTGTGGAACAGAGTGTCGCGCGCTGATTGCCCGATCACTCAAATTTCATTTGATGAAAATGACATTTAATTGGCAGTCTGACATGGGTATAAGCAGACATGCGATAGTGTACAAACATTTCCAGCTTTCGCAGCTACTGGACGCAAAGTGAACAAACATCTTACCCAGGAGAGCGTGAAAGAAAGCAGGGCCTTACACCGTCAGCAAGCCTCACTCTGATCTACGACTCCAATCTCTGCTTTACACGTCCTTTCGCCTGCTTCACAATTCAACATCCGCTTCAGTTTTTGATCCATGATGGAAGAAACAGTAGCTCCCTGCTTCTCTCTTTCATGTTTTGTCCGCTGAATGGCGTCGCCTCCATTTCAGTTGCGAGGTTGACGCTGGCTAGCATTGGCTCTGCACGAGCGAGGCTTAGCGACGTACGGCTTGAAGTTAACTTTAACCTCAATTCACAAGTGAAAACCAAAGCAGCAAAGTTTAAACACATGGATAATCCATGACGTTATGTTGAATTATAGACAGCCATTGGCAGTGCTCTTCTTTTACAGAATCGCGTAGATTATTACTGCGTTTGTATTGAGCAAGTTGTTACCATGATCGATAACAAAATCGGCGCTAAACACGAGCCGTAAACAGGCTAGTGTTTAGCGACAATTTTTGAGTGACATAATTTTAAACCATCACGAGAGAATCATTTCCGGACGCCTGGATTGCTTTCATTGTAGCAAGGTTTTTAGATTTGTTGACGATTATTTAGTTTAAATGCATTAAAACGCTTGTTTTGACGAAAACCCGGTGGTGTCTTGCGTTTGTCAGTTGTCGCGTGCGACGCTCCGATTTCTCCGAAGCGCTGACGTGAGCTTGGTTCAACCTCTCCCTCTTTCCCCAGCGCTGACAAACTGACAGACACCGCCGGGTTGTCGTCAAAACTAGCCCTCTCGTTTTCCGCAAAGTCACGCGCACCACTGGCGCTTCAGCCAGAGAGGAGAAGGTTCCGCGCAACACATCCTAGATATCAAAGCCGTAGTGCTGAATAATATGCCGTCATCAGAGAAGACCAACACTGGGAACAGATTGAAAACGAGTGCTGCGTCAGCGCTCGGTTTCGATTGTAGTGTGAGCCGAAGGTTGACTTAATCGTCGTGTCCAAACTGTGCCAAGCTTTGGCCTTTTCTGATTACACCCTCTCATTCAGCACTACGGCTTTGTTATCTAGGAGGTGTTGCCCCATGGCGCGGTGGAATACGGGTGTGCTGAGTTACCGCTCTGCTGTCTCCGGATGTTCTTAGCTTTGGGTATCCGTAGTAGCGGTACGCCCGCTGTGATGTGTGTTTGTAGTTAAAACGATGGATGGCGGTTCACTCCACGAGTGATATGAATGCGGTTGCTTCCCCGAGTGGTATGGATGTGGTTCTTTCCACGAGTGATATGGGTGACCGTATCCAAAGGCGCCGACGTGCTCTGACAGGCAGAGTACAAAAAGGGGTGAAAAAATACCGGAGGATCCGTAGTGGTACTTTTGGGTAATTCGTTAGCAAGACCCTTGGGACACTTTACTCACGCCCCCCTTTGGGGAACGCCCTTGACGAGGCCAAAAAGAGGGAGCAAAAAATAGGGGAAAAAAAAGAGAAAGCCAAAGAAAAAAAGTGAAGCGGTCAGCGTTAACGTTTCCCAAAGGAAGACGTATGTGGCGTTTCCAATGGTCACACTAACGGATTCCCGAAAAATCCACCAAGAGACTTTCGTGTAATTTTTCTTGACCTTAATATTTCTCACTTGCCCTCGGCGGCGGACAGTCTTTTAATTGTCTATAACAGGGGGGGAGGGGGGGGGGGGCAGGCTGACCCGCCCTAAGAGCCGCAAACGAAAGCGCGAAACTTCCAAGAGACGGGGGGGGGGGGGGGGGGGGAGGGTGCAAACTTTTGTCCAGAGCAATAAACGAGACTTGAGCTACTTTCAGTCTATCCGAGTCAAAAGCAGTCTATTTGTACGTGAGGTTGCAGTAGCACAAGACTACAAAACCGCAACCTGTTTTTCGATTTAAGACGCACGCGTTCCATTTCTCTTTTTGGAGAAGTGCTCGTGTGACCAGGAGGGAGGCGGTGAAGGGGAAGGGGGGCGGGGGGGGGTACGGGAAGGTAGCCGCGAGCCGCACTTTAACACGCGAAGAGCCGCGTGCGGCTCCCGAGCCGCAGCTTGGCCACCCCTGGCTATAAAATGCCTTAAATCATCACCAACTTACGCATGAGGCATTAGTGGATAACGCCAATTAGTGTTTAGGCATTATGCACACCCTTTCGGAGCAACATGTGTTGCTCTGAGAGCTAACAAGCCGCTGTTGCTTTTCAACTCCTCCCTTTTGAAACTCGTTAAGAGAATAATTGTAAATGTATTCTTTATGAACGGCCTGGGATTTCATGTCAACCTGCTATACCTTAAGGCCTGATGCAGCAGACGGAACGCTTGATGGCTGCAGGTTTTCCGGAGTCTCTCTTGGTGTGTGTTGACGAAAGGGTTTTAAGGAAGCTACGAACCGAAGACAGTCCAGATCAAAACACAGCCCAAAAGGAACAAAAAGTGGTGGTTGTACCATGCATGCGCAAAACCGCACACAATCAAAAAGTGGCGGTTGTACCACACCCATGCACAAAACCGCACACAATCTTAAGAAGGTAACAAACCGCGTTAACGCTAAGGTGGTTTTTTCGCCACCCCCAAAAATTCGCCAAGATATGCAAACTGACCGACCCCTTCCGCAAGCGCAAAGTAGGCTGGCTGAAGATGCATCGCAGCCCGCTTGTAGCGTGCGCAGAAGGAGCAAATAGTCGATCAGATCCCGCTGGCGTGAGGCAGGAAATACATGGGACAGACAGGAATATGCATTGATAGATTATGCGAATACAACCAAATCGTGAATGGGCATCTGGATGGCCATTTGTCGATGGGTTATGGCTGTGGATGCAAATCTTAGTTCAAGGCATGCTCGATAATCAGAAGACAGAAGGATAAAGTGGTACGGGAAATCATACAGGCAGACCTGATAAAAACTTACGGAAATCGGTGCGTCAGCGTGGCTTCGATTGATCTGGCGGATAAAGAAAACCACTTCTTGCGAACAGCGAGTTTGCAGGGTAATGATTGAGTGGCGTGATGGCGCAGAGTATTTATATGCATGTTTTTCTTAATAATAAACAGTTAACGGTTACGCATTGTTTTTTTCTGTTCTCTCCTTTTGTCTGTGTCTAAACTCGCCACCACGTTCTCGAAATTTCATCCAAGTATCTGGCTTTAACACAAAAAGAAATCAAGCACATTTTTTGTTTCAACCCAAAAACGCTAGACTACGGCTTCTAGAGGGACACACATTTAGGATAATCGACTGTATGATACGCCAGATTATAATTGCTATTCTTTTGTTATATATTCTTATCTGACAGCTTGATTTTCCAAAACAAGCTGTCAAGATGATTCTACAAAGGCAGGAGTGGGCTAACAGCGAATAG